CCATTTGGACGAATGGAGCGATCGTGAATGGCAGCCTTTATTTTTACAAAAACCGTCAGATGCATTCCTTCTTAAGAATATGTTAATTTTATTGTGTACTTTCTGTTTGAACCATGCACTTGTTTTTCTTTAGAGCTTCTTTTTATTTCTCATAATGTCAGCGAGTAAAGTAACGTATTTGTTCCCTTATTTCATGATGTCAGGCCCTACGGAAGGTTGGCAAGGACCACACGATCCTCATGCTGTGTGTCACAGTGTTTCTCTCATACCTGCCCGAGGCTGGCCAGTACTCATGTATCTTTGTCTACCTCAAGCTGGTAAGTTGACCTTACTTTGAGGTTTACATTTGCCTAATTCAGCGTGGTCCAACTGGCGGCCTGCAAAAGTATTTGTTAATTTTGTTACTAGTTCGTACAAAAGCATTTTTTTCGAAGTTGATATTCCGTCGCTGGTAAAAGAACATTCTGCTGAGTGCTCTCAGTAGAGCCATTGACTTTAAAGGCATAAGAAGCACGTTCTACTGGTACAAATTGTTATTGTATCAGATACAAGCTGTTAAAGTAGCAGAGTTCAAATAATTTGTGTAAGTTTTTCAGGTAAAAATTATGAGAGATCCAAGCTGTTGCAGGAGCAAAATAATATACAACTCTATAGTAGTTTGTGCACGTTTAAATGAAATTTATATTTCAGCATATGCAATGATAATTTGTCATTTCTTAATAAGTATGACAATGCAAAAATTGTGACTAGGGGTTTCTTGGCCCTTGGGCCCAACAGGAAAATTATTCTGGCCCAAGCGAGGAAAAAAATTACAACAGATTCTTCGGATGAATTACAGGAATTGGAAAATTAGTCATTACACATCATAGCATTGGCAATGCACATTGCCATTCTGACTCTTTTTTGGCAGAGAATTACAGTAGATAATTTTTTCTGAATCGTCTAACATCGTATTTGTTGCAGGTGATGGGATTCAGCGTCGTGATGGTAGCTGTATTTATTGCAACAGTTGGCATCCTGTCTGTCTGTGCCCAGATTGTGTTGGGTTTCTTAATGCGGTCTCTTGGGCCAAAGCATACGATTATGGTCGGCCTTGTGTTTGAGATGCTCCAACTTATGTGGTATGGATTTGGGTCGCAGACATGGTAAGTTTGTTTTCCTTCTTGGTTTATTAAATTGTAGTTTAAGTAAACAAATTAAAATCATATTTCATTCGCTTAAAAGTCATTTTACTATTCCAGTCACAGATCATGTTATGAAATGACAAAAATACAAATGTAATCAGTAATAGAACTTATATAATTGAATAAATTGAAAAGAAACTACATTTATAGAATAAATTCTGATAGAATATTGTTAAAGTTCTTAAATACCAACACGGGATGAAGGTATGTAGGATGATAATCTTTGAAGAGTTAGTCTCTAACATCCTGTTACGCAACATCTGGGAAGAGTGATTATGATGGAAAAAGTCGATAAACCCACGTGACTTTTGACTTACAGGTTTTACCGCAATTTCTTCAGTCCACACATGCAAGTGTTGACATAGTTCCTTAAACTACATCGTGGCCACTTTGTACCAAATCTTTTCCAAGTCGCAAGTGACAGTCATTGTCATTTTTATTTGTTACGGTATAAGGTATGGTGTTTATACAGTGTCATTAAATAAACCAAGTAATAGCATTAAAGTTTGTGTGAACAAATTTTCCAGGTTGGTACCCATTAGCAGTTTTTAGAATTATTTTTTGCAATCGCCCGTAAAAAATTTTAACTTTGTTATCTAATTTTTCTATAAGTTTAGAAAGCTTTTTATGCAAAATTAAATATGTACGACCTATCACTGTGAAAGCAGATGGCATTGCCCTTGCTGTTCATTTTGTTAACACGAGTGTTTATTGCCCTTACTTTGTACTCCAAGTTCAGTTCAGTTCCTCTGTTTTCAGGATGATGTGGGCAGCTGGGGTGTTGGCCTCCGTCAGCAGCATCACGTACCCTGCCATTAGTGCCTTTGTTTCGATGCATTCTGATGCAGACAAGCAAGGTAACGATCAGGTGTATAAACAACACACCCGTTATGATGCACTTGACACTAATTTGAGACGCCGTGTAGCCGTACTCCTATATATCCGCTGTCATTTCATCTCACAGTGTAGTTTAATATTACTTCAGTTTCTTGGCTTCATTCTTTAAGGATTTCAAATAAAATATTCCGTCTAAAATATGTAATAAATGAGAAAAAGTTAATAGAACATTGTAAAAATGTGTGGTATGACCCTCAAGAAAAATATATTGTTGAAGAAGTACATGAATGTTTTGACACTGATCGGAGTAAAGTAGATTATCTTCATTGCAACTGCCGGATCATTGGTTTGACCAAGCAGGACCATGTGCTTGATCAGTAAGATGCTTCAGTTTTGTAGGATTTGAGGTTTTCACCGTGGTGAGTCTGAAGACGGCTGTCTTGTGGGTTGTTGCGCCATGTAGTCTGGTGGAAGTTTACTGACATTTCAGAGGTCCTTGCTGCCTGCATCATTGCTCTGATGATGTAGGCAGCAAGGACCTCTGAAACGTAGGTAAATTTCTACCAGGCTACACGGCGCAACAACCCAGAAGACAGCCATCATCTGCTCCAGTTTTACCCCCTAGATTTTTGTCTTTGGGGGACACATGAAGAGGCTTGTCTACGCAAAGAGGGACCAGTGACACAAAATGCACTCCTAATAATTTTGGGTGCTGCAAATGTCATCAGAATCCACCCCCACATTCTTGAGGGCTCAACTACTTCAACAATATACTACGCTTAGACGTGCAAACAGGCCCCTTAAACGTTTTTGTAGCATGTTTGTCATTAAGCAACACTTTGTAATATTTTAGTTTCTCACTGAAATTATTGTGGGATTTTTAGCATTTTTCATTACTATTAAATAACTCTTATTTTAGTTTTACGTAAATGTTTGAGTGACATTTTCCATTAAATCCCCTTAACCTTGCTTAATTTGACAATGCATTTCATTCCACAGGGTTCATAGTTGAGTTCAACTTGACACAAAATTTTACAGATCTTTTTCATCTTATGTGAGGACTCCTGCCATCTATCAGTGGCCTTGTGAGCTGTTTAAAGTTTGCTGTTGAGTTACACGCTTTCAGAAATGGAAGTCGTGTGCCGTATAGTCTTGCGTTTGGTTACCAATATTTTGGAGGAATGTGTTGTCTCTTTCTTCAGAGTTGGAATGAGAGATGATGGGATGTGACACATTTAAACAGACCAAAAACAGCCACTGAGATAGGAGAAAGAAGGAAGATGTGGCCATGGTGGCCATCACTGTCATTGGCTTCCCCTGGCGAGTTGTTTCTCACAATGCAGTAATTAGGGCCTCTGCAAGACTTGCACATTTAATGACTTCTCAGCCACTGCCCTTATGTTTCTTCTGTCTGGATTCTTAGCTGTCCTCCACCTATATCTGTATATATATAATTGACACATCTCCAAAATGACTCACTTCGAGCCTGAAAATAGATCCAATGCAGTGGCGTCATAACCCAGGGGATCACGATCAGCGCTTGGCTTAACCTTTGTCAACCTTGCTTCTTAGGCTATGTGTAGTCCACCTGGCTGTGTGCTGCAGTTTCATAGGATGGGGTGTAGAGGTTAAAGTGGGGTTTACTGCCATGTTACAGGACTGGTGCAGGGCATGGTTACTGGTATGCGAGGATTGTGCAACGGATTGGGACCGGCTATGTTTGGCGTCATCTTCTATTTGTTCCACGTGGATCTCAACGAGGATTCAGCCACTGGCCACGGAAGAGACCAGAGACCGTCGCTATCTGGTGACAACAACACAGTTGGTCAAATATTCGACTCCATCCAGCCTGTAAGTGACGTAACATAGCGTCTTCCATCCGTGGTGGTGTTTTGAGGAATATGTTAATGCTCCTTTTTGACAGGTCAAGAATTTTTGTCGAGTATAATTACTTCTTCTTCTCGAAAGGTTGGAAAGGAAAGTGACTTGGCTGCAGAAACCAGTTAATGGAATATTGGATTCTTTAAATGTTAGTGTGTTGTCAGGTAGTTGTACAGATACAGTGAAACCTCGATGCATCGTTTTCGGCGGGGGTGGGAAATAAAAACGATGAATGCGGGAAAGCATTAAAAAAACAATGTTTCTCTTTCAAAGTTACTTCTTTTTACCAAAAAAGTCTTTAATGGACAACTGGTTTGTCGAAACTTTACGTTTTAGACCAAACAGAGCACTTTCCACGTTCAAAAGGTTTTCCTCGTCACGTTCACTAATATTAAGCGCATAAAAGAACGACTTCACTTTCGCCAATGCAGCGTGTGCTTCGGCAAACCTCGGCAAAGCTTCGGGCTCGCATTCGTCGTCT